ACATGTTCTTTCAACAAGACGGCGCTACGTGCCATATATCCCGCGACACAATTAATTTATTACGAGAATCAATTATTTCAAGAAATTAGGATTTCGAATGACCTCCAATAAACTGTGACTTAACACCTTTGGACTTTCGATTTTGTTTTATTTAACAAAGAAAACATTTGACTATTACACAGTGCAACACAAAAAAAATGGACGCAATTCTGCATAGCACATTCAAAAGTATACATCAAGATAAGAAAAACCCTAGGTTTGTTTTGCGATATTAGCTCGCAGTTTTATTTTATGGCTCTTTGAAGTTTTAGAAAATCTGTGAATTGACCTGCACAGTTTTTGGCCAATAACTCGACAACTATTGAAGATAGCGACATACTTTTTTCATAACAATATTAGCTAAGTGTGTCAGCAGCAAATTTTATAAACACATTATGCCCCAAAAATCACATCTCAATTAATTTTTTGAGCAAAATATTGTAAAAAGTTCTTTTTTTTTGCTCTTTCAAAAACAAGTTGCAATTTATTATACTTTTTGTTAAATTTATGTGGTAAAATTATAGCTGTAAAAATAATGGTTATTTATGTCATAAGGCTAAGAAGTTGGTCTTTTTGTGCTGAGCTCAAATTGAGCTAGCACAAAAAAACACTTCTCAGTCGAATGGCATACAACATTTTATCTTTAAGGCAAAGTCTTATTTCTTAAACGGTACATAAAACGTACTTACAAATTGTAAGTTACAATTATAATAACAAATATTAAAAGTATAAAGTGAGGTTAGATAGCTTTAGAGCTGTTGGCACTTTTTGAATTACTAGGCTTATTTATTTACAGCCTAGGAGATTATCGAATACTTTGGTAGTGAGCGTTAACAATAATAAAGGTTAAATAATAGAACTCTTAAATATTAACAATTTTTGTGAACACATAACCCGAAAAAAACCTAATCTGTGCTTTGAACCAAAATTTAGAGATATAGTCAATTTTTGACCATCACTTCCCAGTAGCCAATTTTTTTTAATAGCTTCTTTAAAGAAATATTGTCGCATCATTAAACAGTCAAAAATAACGTTTAAGGAGAAAAAATCCCATATACATTAATATTTTCTTACTACCTCGGCCGAAAATACGTTGTTTCGTCCCCGATTCCACTGCAGAAAGTTTACGTTTGATGCATTGGTCAAATTTACGTTTGATGCATTGGAATCGGGGACGAAACAAGGTATTTTCGAGTATATTACACTACAAGGGCTACGAAGGCTTCGCTCGTGCCGCAAATGTGTGGGCAGGCATCAATATGTTTCGATATACACATTTAATTTTTTCCCGTATTTTCGGCCGGGTTGGGTTGGGTTGTATTTTCGGCCGGGTAGCAAGAAAAATAGTATACACTACACGGGCAGAAAGTGTGAGAGCCCTGAACTGCGCGCCATGATGCCCTCGGCTTCGCCCTTGTAGTGTAATATACTATTATCGATTTATGATCAAAAGCTTATATTTTGTATTATAAATTGTAGTGTGCCTGAAAAAAAGGTAAAAATTCTTCAAACGTCATATGTCATCGTGCAATCGTCAGTACGGTGATTGTTGTTTCTATTTTAAAGTTTTTGTGATTATAGTTACGATTGTACGCTGTAATGTTTGTTGTTACGTTATTGTTACTTTTTTCATTTTGCGTTTGTTGTTTTTTTCGTTTTACTTTGGTTGTTATTGTTGTTGTTAAAATTGTCTTGTTGTTAAAACGCGAAAATGGAAAAGTGCAAGGGAAACATAAACAATTTTTGTTATGTTTGTGGTCATTTCACCCCTATGGGTAAAGAAAATAAACAATTACCCTTAAGTGACGAGTTTGATATGTGTTATGAAAAGTACTATTCTCAAAATGTTAAAAAGGATGTTCCGTGGGCTCCAAAAAGCGTGTGCAGAAACTGTTACAATGGTTTTTTAGCATGGAAAGCAAAGAAAGTTCATTTTCTACCATATGGTATACCAATGTTATGGTTTGATCCTGGCCCTCATGATTTTCAAAATTGTTATGCGTGTGTAAATAGTGTAATTGGATTGAACAAAAAAAAATCAAAAAATAAAGTTTATGTTCCCGTTCGAAGTGCACATTTGCCGTTGCCCCATTCCGATGTTGTCCCAGTACTATCAACATTTCCAGGCCCAGTTATGTTTTCATGTGCAGCAACTACATATACACAATATGAATCTGAATATAATCCGGTCTCAATTAAAAGTGATCCTATTCTTGTTACGCAAGCCATATTGTAGCTATGTTGGAGCTATCACAACGGAAATCGGAAATGTTGGCGTCATTCCTAAATGAAAATAATTTGCTAGCAAGTAATACTAAAGTGACTGCCTACCGAAACCGAAATAAAGAAATGCAACAATTTTTCACTGTGAATGAAGAAAAAACGTTCGCGTATTGTGAAGACGTCGGGAAGCTAATGAAGGCTATGGATATTATTTACGAAAAAGATGATTGGCGCCTGTTTATAGACAGTTCTAAAAATAGTTTGAAAGCCATGCTGTTGCATAAATTAAACGAAAAACCTTCAATCCCAATCGCCTACAGTACGGACACAAAAGAAACGTATGATAAAATGAAGTACATTTTAGAACTGGTCCAGTATAAGCAACATCGATGATATCAGTGGAGAATTTTTTGCGATTTAACAGTTGTTGCTATACTCTCTGGATTGCAAGCTGGCTACACGAAATTCATGTGCTTCTTGTGTGATTGCAATACGAGATACACTGGTGACCAATACGCAAAGAACGATTGGAAAGATAGGAAGGACAGCGAATTTAAAAATTGTAATGTTGTACGCGAAGCGCTTGTAGCACCTGAAAAGATATTAATGCCATTTCTTCATATTAAACATGGAATCGTGAAAAACTTCTTAACAGCTGTAGCAAAAAGAGAGGACGTATTAATATGCTTAAGCGAAATATTTACCGGAATTAGTGTCAACAGGTTAAAGCATGGAGTTCTCAATGGTCCAGACTTAAGGAGGTTAATGAAAAATGAACGATTTGAAGTGGTTTTAGTGGGCGATAAATTAGTTGCATGGTATTTCATAAAGCATGTTATAACTGGATTTTTGGCCAAACATCGTTCTAAAAATTATGCAGAATCAGTGCGGAGTATGCTAAATGCATTTTCAACCATTGGTGTACATATGTCACTTAAAAAGAACGCTATCATCAAACTGTAATTCCATTCGAAATAAGGTAGATTTTTATTATTTTATTTCTTAGTTCATTTACAATTGTTATTCCAGAGGAAAGAAAGCACCAGATGCTATTCTAGCTGAGATTTGTTAGTGGAGCAAGCGCAAGTTTGAAGACCGTGACAGTAAAAAAAACGAAAAAGATAAAGAGGAAACGGAAAGATTTATAGAAGAATTTGTTGCTTCGGACGATGAAGATTCTGATGTTGTTAAGCCTGCAGCCAAGAAAGCACGACCTTAATATATATTTTTCGTTTACTTAATTTTTTTCATTTTCTTGATTTTGGCTTCAAAAGATACACATCAGGTAAGTTTTTTTCGGGTTAATAAGTTCACAAAAATTGTTTATTTTTACATAAACTATAATTTTGCCACATAAATATAGCAAAAAAGTAGAATACATTGCGACTTGTTTTCGAAAAAGTAATAAAAATTGACTATTTACTATATTTTGCTCAAAAACTCTATTTAGATGTAATTTTTGAGGCATAATATGTTAATAAAATTTGTTGCTGGCACTCTTAGCTAAAATTTTACTAAAAAGAGTATGTCGCTATCTTCAATAGTTGCCGAGTAATTAGCCAAAAACTAAGGTCAATTCACAAATTTTGTAAAACTTTATAGAGCCATAAAATAAAAATGCGAGCTAATTTTACAAAACAGAGCTAGGGTTTTTCTTATCTTAATGTATACTTTCGAATGTGCTATGCAAAATTGCGTCCATTTTTCAAAGCCCCCAAATTGTTGCACTGTGTTATTAAAAAACTCTTTATAAATGCTCATTTGGCTGATTTTTTTAACGCGTAGATAATGTTGAAGATACCCTAGACTCTAGATGAAATAATAGAAAATCGTTCTAATTAACCTATAGGCTCGTTATACCAAAACGTCACTGTTATGTGGTATATTTGGCGATAGTCTGGTTGGATCCATTTTTTTCGTTGATAACCTGACAGAAGAAACGTTTTTAAAATTTCTAGAAGATGTAGATAATGCCTTATTGGTATATTACTATAAAAAACTGCTAGTTGGAAGACCAACAAGAAGAGCACCTCCACACTATGCACTGCGTCTAAGAGAGTTCCTGACAATGAAATGGATGGCAAGATCTCCAGATTTCACCTCTTTAAAGTCTAATTAGACTTTAAAGGATTTATGCAATTTATGCAGACGGCGTCTCTACAGGATTTGCGATAACGTATTGGAAATAAATGCCTTTTTTATTCAAACAAAAAACAAAGGGAGCTGTTACAACTTTAATTTTAAGTATGCACTTCTCAGAAATGTAAAAAGTAGTAATTATTACCAAAAAAGTATTATTTTATACGAGGGATAATGCGCATAATCTCGAGTGTAATACTATACTTTATGTACTTCAATAAGTAGATAATTACATGTTTTAAAAAATTAAATCAATAAAATCTGTCAAATGGTTAACCTTACTTTTTACCAATTTTTAAATGTTATTATAGTTGCCTTCTTCGAATTTAAAACCCGATTGGTTCAAATCACAGTGAATATTGAAATCGGCCAATCACTGAAGCCTATACAACGTGAATAATGAGTTTATTATTCACGTCGTTGAGCCGGGAATTTATAATGTTTATCAATATTCATGAAAAAAACCAAAATTATGCAATAGGAGTAGATAAATACATAAATTTTCTATGTAAACCTTTATCTAATTATCAGGAAAATTGTTATTTTAACTTTAAACTAGTTCAAAAGAGATCACCAAACAAAGCTTTAGTAAATTTTACCTGGTCTCCCTTCAATCGGTCTAATAGAGATACACAAACTACAGCAGCTCTGATTCCGGCATGGTGTGTCAAAGCTGCGAATGGTATAACTTCCATTTCGATATTCTTAACGCCATGCTTATTTAAATTTTCCAAATAGTCCATCTTGTCCGTTTCACTGTATTCGCAGAATGCTCCGTCTAATCTGCCTTGTCCTATAAAGTACAATATTAAGTAATTGAAACTTGATAAAATAAACTTAAAATATTGCCTTCATAAAAATCGATGGCACACATAGTCGTTCCTGTAACTGTGTCGTATGGATCTTCCACGTCGGATAGAGCTTTCAGTTCCCTGACTAATCTTTTATCTAATTTGGCAGGCCTTCTCACTAATTTTCCTAACATTGGCTGTAGACAAGACAAAACAAATAAGTAAACAAAGGAAATTATAACTTGTTGTTAATTAATTTTTTAAATCTCATATAGCATAACTTTTATTAAGCATTATTTTGTAAATGGACACCGTGTACCGTACATGGAATCTTTATTAAACCTTTTTTAACAACAAAAATTATTAATCTAACTAAGGATTTACTTTTTTCAAAAACAATTTTTAAATATTTTAAACTCATATATGAATAGGGTTACCAGATGCGTTGAAAAAAAAACTGGACATGTTTCAACACCTTTAAAATGGCGAATGCGCCGGGATTAACTGCATTTTTCTCCGGTTTACTAAGATTTTTTTGACCAGACATGCATAAAGGAAACCGGACCACTGGTATACCTATTTAAAAAGTTTTGTCCATTCTTGTACTGTTTAAACCTTGAGAAACTATATTTAAAATAAAATGCAATTTCTGATTCATTGTTAAGTTAAAAAAATTAAAATCCACGAATTCGCGAGTTAGAGACACGTTGGTGTCTCTATCAAGTTTGATAAACGCCATTTTATACACGAATTTAATTTAGGCTTAAATTAATGAGTGTTTAGAAAAGTTTATAAACGAGGTGCATACTATACTTTTTCTACGAAAAATACTTATTATTATCTTAAAATGATTTAAATAAAAAATTTGTATAGAGCGCCATCTATGAAATAATAGGGGAATCTTTGTGTCACCGTCAAATGTCAAATTTTTATATTTTATAAACACAGATTATAAAGGTTGTAAATCGAAATGTATTTCTTTAAAATGGACAGTTTTTTCATAGTGAAAGTAAAGAAAATGTTTTATGAGCACTTTACAGTGGAGTCCGTGCCCAAATTAAAGTTATAGTTTATTGCCGGCGAAATTAAAAGGTCAGTACAATGTTCATATAAACTTTTCAAATATTGGCGTTGAGAAACTATTTAATACTTTTGTATTTTTGTATTGAGATAATAAAATAATTTTCAAATTTAATTATTTTACAAGACACTTTATTTTAATGATATTATATATTATATATATATATATTATATATTTTAATGATTCTATGACATTTGACACCTGTTGCTAACAGCCCGTGACTAAAGCGCCATAAAGCCACAACTTGTCAATGTGTATTTAAAAGGTCACTTAGTGTCATGGAAACGATAAAGGGCGTTTTAAAGGTGGGAGTAGAAAAAAATAAGTTTTTTCCTTTTAAAATTAAAATGTTTTAGCAACTCAGCGAAGATAAATACAACAGAAGAATCCAGTTTGGCGAGAAAAAGTATTGCGGTTGCTCCCAATTTATTACAAAATATTTCTTCCATCGATGAATCTACTTTTTTTTCTAAATAAATTTGTAAATAAACACAGTTGTAGGTACTGGGACAATGAAAATCCACATGTTTTCCGAGAGGATCATACTCAGTATCCTCAAAAAATAAATGTATGGGCTGGTATTCCTGGCAACAAAATAATTGGAGCGCTTTTTATACAAGAAAACTTGACAGGACAATTGAGGGGCTCGGTGCAAGAACAACCTTGTTTTATACAATGTCATTAATTTTTATTTCTCTTGTATCTGATATATATTTAGTTAACGCTAACGTGGATCTACACGGTTTGTGCACCGAACGATGCAGACTACTGAAGGGTGTATCTTCATATACCGAACTCAATGTAGCAAAAATATGGAGATACACGGTTCTTGCACCGAGCCCCTTAATTATATCTTGATCTTCTTGAAAATGTTATAGACCAACTATTACCCAGTCATTAAAAATCAGATGGACGAACAAGAAAACATGTTGCTTGATGAATGACATTTGTACCTTCAACAAGATGGAGCTCCTCCTTACTATGATTTACCAGTCAGAGAATGGTTAAACCAAAGGTTTCCCGAGAAATGGATTGGTAGAAGAGGTGCTCAAGAATGGCCGGCAAGATTCTCAGAGTTACCAGCACTGGATTTTTTTTGGGTCATTTAAAAACACAAGTCTACAAAACACCACTTGAAATCATTCAAGAACTCAAACGAAGAATAATTAAAGAATGTAGGCAGATAACTATAGTTATACTGAAACGTTCTAACAAGTTCGACAAGAATTTAAAAACCGATTGTGTTATTGTTTAGGAAATAACGAAGCGCATTTTAATCATTTAAAATATTTTATTATGGAATTCTTCGGCTATACCTTTCAAATGCGTGATCGAATTTAGTTTTTTTTTAACTTTAATGGATAAGAAATTGAATTTCTTTTAAAATGATGTGTAGCAAGGTATAAGGTACCATTTAAATTTTTTTAAGTAAGGGTAGCTGGAAGTGAGAGGGTAAAATATAAAATTTGTTTAACACTTCTCAATATCTAAATCGACCGCTTTTGCTCAAGATCATATTAACTCAAAAGTTATTAAGGGTGGCTAGTTTTTAATTAAAAGCCCTGTATAAATAGGGACAAAACAAATTTATATTAAATGATAATAAAAAAATAAACGTTTTTTTGAGGAAAATATAAGGTTTTTAGTTTTCGTTTATGAATTTTAACTCCCGCTAAATCTGCTTTTTTAACGATATTTTTTGATTTTGTGGGAATTTGTAACTGATATCTAAAAATTGGCTTACTTATCAGATACCTATTTGAACTAAATTGAAATAGCTTAGTTTTGGACCTTAAGGTCATTAAATCAACTATTAAACAATTTCTATGTGGGCACCTTTAATTGACAAAATTAACAAAATTTACATTTAATGTAAATATGATTCCAAATCTAAATGAAGATGTTAAATTAGTCCTAAAACACGACTTTCAAAATCTATCAATATGGTTGGGCAGATTCCAGCAAACAGAGTGACGTTGTTTATTGGTGATCTTTCGTCATCGCCTTAAAGGTACCAGTTATGTGACAAGTACGGCCCTATTAAAGTACAATTGACGTCATAAAATGACTTGTGTTTTAGTCATTCACTGACTGGATTATAATATACGTCATAAGATGAGATATCGTTGCAACCGAACTGGATAAACGACTATCGACACAATTCTCTGATCAAGAGAAATTAAGAGATATCTCATGCAATGGACATTTTAAACGTTAGCAAAGCCGCATTAAAAATTTTTTACCACTAATTTCGGACATGACAAACATAAAAACTAAAAATCGTCACCGACTTCAGCCCTACACCTGGTTTACGTAAAAAATAATGCGAAGATATTAATTTTTTCGATCTAATTGTCAACATTTAAATAAATTACGTGAAACTTTCAAAACATAGTTGTTTTTATATTTACATAGATAATAATGCGAAGGAGTTCTCGAATTATTTTTAAGAAATACATGTAGCCACACGTTTTTAGCGATTAATAACAAAAAATTATCCAAATCCCAAAGGACAGATTCAAGGGTTAAAATTAATATCATTATTATTATTATAAACAAAATATTGTTATGCCATTAAAAGGGCTATCATCTCGATTATAAGGGGTACGCGGATTTTAAGTTTTTCTCACTGGTTTAAAGGCATTGTTTTTATTATTTCAGTTTTGAATTATTTCTTAATAAGCGTTAAAAATGTAAATATTTCCAATGTTTTTGTTGCGAAATGTACATTTTTAATGATACTAAAAACATCTTATTTTTCATAGTGGCGAAATCTTATCAGTTTCACAAAGATTTCTTTGAAAGGAATATTAACTTATACAAAATTGGATTATAATTAAAATAAGTTAAAAGATTAATGATGATATTAAAAGAAATTAAATTATGATGATATTAAAACTAAAGAAAATAATAATAATAAATGGATGTTATGCTTTAAAACATGCAATAAGTTTTTATGTTTAAAACCAAGTTATGTTGTAATCCTTTGCACCTATTAACCTTAATTAATCAATAGTAAATAGGTAATTAAACCGATACATACGGTTTCAAAATTGAATTAAATCATTATACCAAATAAATACGAGTAATCATGGGTTTTCAATTAAACACTCCTACCACCTAAGTATTAAGGGTTTAATTTATTTGTTTAAGACTTACCACTTCATAATAATTATTTAACATTCCATCGACAGCATCATCGGAAATAACAACAGTTCCACCTTCCAAACCAATTCCTCCACAAGTTCCAATTCTAAAGAAAATAGGATCTTTGCATTTAGCGTGGTACATCAGCTTGATGACTTCGTGTAATAAGATTCCAATGGAAGGGACACCCATACCATGCTAAAATATTATATTTTAAAATTGTAATTTTTCAAGTCCTGTAATTTTCTTACGCTTATGGATAAGACTGGCCCAACTTTGTACATACTGTAACGGTAAGAATATTGACTTATATCCATAAGCGAAGTTCCAGTGGGTAACTTGTGACCAATTTCTTTCATAATATAGTGCGCAAAGTTTTCCATGCGCTTTGGTGTTCCACCCATACAAACAAACTAAAAAAATTAGTTTTTTAACAAGAAATTTATTTATCATGTTAAACACTTACTTTAACATCCCCAAACATTTCAACCAGGTCGTGGGATTCGCTCCCTAATGCTAGATGATACAAAATGTCTTGGTCCATAAGTTCGATATGTGGATTTCGTAAACGGACTGTTCCATCTGGATATCTGTAATCAAACCTATGTACAAATATGGACGGTTTTTAAACTTAAACATTGGTTTTAACATATTCTAGGTAGGTATACATGTGTTGTTTTTAGTAAACTATATTTACCTATAGGTATAACAAAAATTATTAGTCATATTGAATTTATAGGATTTTAAATAATGCTCTTCTTACAAAGCTAGTCATCCCCATTTTAATATGTAAATATGTACAACTTTGCATCAATAGCAATTACAAAATTCTACAAGGTATGACGATTGAATAACGGGAATTTGTAAATATTTTCCTAGAAAACTTGCAACATTGTTTTCTATATCAATTTTCAGGTCGACATTTTTAAGTGGGTACTGTGTGAACTCTTAATGCTTGGCATGTTAAAAACGTAGGACAAAAAAGGAACAACAAATTTTGACAAAATTGTTTATGAAACCATAGAGAAAAATTGATGACATTTTAAGCGATTACGAGCAAATGTTGAGAAGGTTTACCCGAATTGGTCCAGTATGTATTCATTATCATAAAAAATAGAATTAAAAACTATATCTAAAAATATACCAGGTGCATTGAAAAAAACCATGTAAATGTTATTTTTTTTTAACCCAGCAAATTGGATTTTATTTTGATATCTCTTCAACCTTCCCCGTGAGTTTTAAGCATTAAAAACAAATTTAAAAAAATATATTATAACAACATTTTTAATTATAAATATAATAATTTTTATTTCCAAATTGGAAGTTATAAGAAAATTTAACGGTAAAAACAAAAAAAGGATTATTTAAATTAACCAAGGTAATTTGTAAGTTTTCTGGGTGAATTGTGCCCCAGTATTACCGACCAGTCACGACTGGTCGGTAATATGGTGGTGAAAAATTATCAGATTTGATTTAGGGATAAGGTGACAATTTTCTGTCGGATGTTGCGGATACCAGGTTTTGGAGGCTCGCCATAACTTAGGGAAGGGATTTAAAAAAAGTATTATTTTATTTATTATTATTACTTTATTTATTATTTGTTTTTTTATTTGCATTTAAACTTTAATAGAAATTAAAGTGGTTATTCGAAATTCCAAATGCACTTAACATTTTGTATTTATTTATTTTTTAAACTTATTTGTTTTAAATAATGATGATGCGAAATTTTAAAATTGAATATTTTTATGTAATTTTTCGATTTTGCAATAAACAAATTCAAGGTTATTTTATCTTTAAGCGGTCTATAAATTAAACTTTATTGTCACCAACGCTCAAACAATTGTGCCTTCAAGATTAAATTTATGCCATTCGACCCAGAATGTCTTTTTGTGCTTTGCTCAATTGTTCAGCATAAAAGAATAACTTTTTGGCGTAATGACATAAATAACTATTCTCAACAAATACCTATATAAATAACTCTTTTAATATTGTGGTTAACGACTAAAGTCGACCGTTACTGCCTATTATAATAGAATGGATAATACAAATTCCTTATCAAGTTAAATGTCAAGTTTAATTGATAGAAAAGTATATTTTATTAAAGCTTTTCTATATGATTTGTTCAAAGGTCATAAAATTTATATTTTAAATAAAAATATGATAAATAATAATAATGAATAGAGAACAGCTAAAAAAATAATAAACAAAGTACCTACTATTTATTAATTAATTTGTTTGCTTATCAAAGTATGCTTCTAAGAATTTTGTGGGCGTTTTATTATTTCTTCGTACTTAACCTTCAACGCAACAAAAGTAGTTTCCCTTTTATATTATTTCCTATAGGGATAGTACCCACTTTTATTATATTTAGCACACCTGAAGACTATTTTTGATATAAAATATGAGTTAATTTGTATCGTACATTTATACATTTAATTTTATGTATTTATAATATATTCTTTATTTAAATAAAATTAAAGGGGGAAGTAATTTTATTTATGATTTTAAAGAAAAAGTTTATAGAAGAAAGTCGTTTACCATTTAAATTTAAGTCTAAATACTTACTAAATAATTTTTATTATTATAAAGGGTTAATTTGAAGTGTCAATGACTTTTTCTTATACATTTTTTCTTAAAGCATTTTTATGTTATCTTAACTTCTGAGCATTATGTAGTTTATTTAATTCACATTTGTTTATAGAAATCTCTATTTTAAAGAAGAGGGAGATATTATGAAGAATGCATTTTTTTATAGGAATCTCTATTTTAATGAAGCAGGAGATATTATGAAGAATGCATTTTTTCCATATCACTATGAGTGTTTTCCAATTGGCAACCCGATCCATATATTTCAATTGTATTACCTAATAAACTGTTGTTACTCAATGTTTATGCAATTTGTTAAATATTTATTTATAATATATATATAACCATAGAGAAAAATTGAGGACATTTTAAGCGATTACGAGCAAATGTTGAGAAGGTTTACCCGAATTGGTCCAGTATGTATTCATTATCATAAAAAATAGAATTAAAAACTATATCTAAAAATATACCAGGTGCATTGAAAAAAACCATGTAAATGTTATTTTTTTTTAACCCAGCAAATTGGATTTTATTTTGATATCTCTTCAACCTTCCCCGTGAGTTTTAAGCATTAAAAACAAATTTAAAAAAATATATTATAACAACATTTTTAATTATAAATATAATAATTTTTATTTCCAAATTGGAAGTTATAAGAAAATTTAACGGTAAAAACAAAAAAAGGATTATTTAAATTAACCAAGGTAATTTGTAAGTTTTCTGGGTGAATTGTGCCCCAGTATTACCGACCAGTCACGACTGGTCGGTAATATGGTGGTGAAAAATTATCAGATTTGATTTAGGGATAAGGTGACAATTTTCTGTCGGATGTTGCGGATACCAGGTTTTGGAGGCTCGCCATAACTTAGGGAAGGGATTTAAAAAAAGTATTATTTTATTTATTATTATTACTTTATTTTTTATTTGTTTTTTTATTTGCATTTAAACTTTAATAGAAATTAAAGTGGTTATTCGAAATTCCAAATGCACTTAACATTTTGTATTTATTTATTTTTTAAACTTATTTGTTTTAAATAATGATGATGCGAAATTTTAAAATTGAATATTTTTATGTAATTTTTCGATTTTGCAATAAACAAATTCAAGGTTATTTTATCTTTAAGCGGTCTATAAATTAAACTTTATTGTCACCAACGCTCAAACAATTGTGCCTTCAAGATTAAATTTATGCCATTCGACCCAGAATGTCTTTTTGTGCTTTGCTCAATTGTTCAGCATAAAAGAATAACTTTTTGGCGTAATGACATAAATAACTATTCTCAACAAATACCTATATAAATAACTCTTTTAATATTGTGGTTAACGACTAAAGTCGACCGTTACTGCCTATTATAATAGAATGGATAATACAAATTCCTTATCAAGTTAAATGTCAAGTTTAATTGATAGAAAAGTATATTTTATTAAAGCTTTTCTATATGATTTGTTCAAAGGTCATAAAATTTATATTTTAAATAAAAATATGATAAATAATAATAATGAATAGAGAACAGCTAAAAAAATAATAAACAAAGTACCTACTATTTATTAATTAATTTGTTTGCTTATCAAAGTATGCTTCTAAGAATTTTGTGGGCGTTTTATTATTTCTTCGTACTTAACCTTCAACGCAACAAAAGTAGTTTCCCTTTTATATTATTTCCTATAGGGATAGTACCCACTTTTATTATATTTAGCACACCTGAAGACTATTTTTGATATAAAATATGAGTTAATTTGTATCGTACATTTATACATTTAATTTTATGTATTTATAATATATTCTTTATTTAAATAAAATTAAAGGGGGAAGTAATTTTATTTATGATTTTAAAGAAAAAGTTTATAGAAGAAAGTCGTTTACCATTTAAATTTAAGTCTAAATACTTACTAAATAATTTTTATTATTATAAAGGGTTAATTTGAAGTGTCAATGACTTTTTCTTATACATTTTTTCTTAAAGCATTTTTATGTTATCTTAACTTCTGAGCATTATGTAGTTTATTTAATTCACATTTTGTTTATAGAAATCTCTATTTTAAAGAAGAGGGAGATATTATGAAGAATGCATTTTTTTATAGGAATCTCTATTTTAATGAAGCAGGAGATATTATGAAGAATGCATTTTTTCCATATCACTATGAGTGTTTTCCAATTGGCAACCCGATCCATATATTTCAATTGTATTACCTAATAAACTGTTGTTACTCAATGTTTATGCAATTTGTTAAATATTTATTGATAAATTTTATAATATTAATTCACCATATTTAACAAAGATAACTTTAATGTAAATAAAAAATAAATACATATAAATATCTTATAATAAAATACCTTGTTTCTACCAAATTATTTAAATTTCCATTGGATTTTTCGTTGCCACATTCATCTCCATTATGGTTATTTTCTTTTCCATTAACGCTATTTGTATGATTTTTACTGTTTCCGTTTGTATACATTTTTTAAACACTTTTATTAACAAACTAACACTTGTTCATTGAACGTACAAATGCGCAATACTGGCTAATTTAGTAAATATTTTTAATATTATCAGCAATAAATCTATTATCGTTATTTTGTAATTTTATTAGGAATATATTCGTAATAAACCGCTTAACAAATACTGACAAGCCGTTGATAAAGCGCGCGGTATGTTTGTGCAGAGAGTTCTTCTACACGCACGAACGCATTTGCTTTAATTATTCACTTTGTCTGCGGGCAACAATACCAATTTTAACCAACGCGTTGCAACGTACATATGTTATAAAACAGAGCCGTATTTGTTTCTAATACAAGTCGTTTTTATTATATACATATAGTTACATTATCTTCAATCAAAAAACTGTAAAAATAATTTAGGCAAAGTTTTTTTACCTATTACTCTATAAAAAAAATCTTGTGCAGCATCGTACACGTGGTAGAATTGAAACTTCTTATAAACTAGGGAACATATAACAAATATGCTAGGGAATGTGAGCAGGGCCGGGCCTAAGGGGGGTGTAGGGGGGGGAGTCACCCCCCCAAAGTCTTGGCAGTTGGTTCCAAATCCAAACACGGTTGGCAAAATCTATAGTATTTGGGTCGGTTGGTTGGGTATACCTACCCTACCAACCAACCCATCACAATAAATAAAATGAAATATAATTTTTAAACTTTACCTACATATTACAAAATTATAATTTTTAATCTATTGTAACCTCCTATAATCGTTACCGTCAAAAAAATGGTATTGGTCAACCTTATTTTTATTAAAGGACATTATATTTCACACAAGAAGCATGTACCTACAGTCGGCACCGCCTCGCGGCTTTGTCTTTGGTTTTGGCGGCGTTTGACTCTTTTTACGCACCGCAATTTTCGGCGTCTTATTTTTCTAGATTATTATTTAGTTGAGGCTTATCTAAGCTAAGTAAAACTAGTATCAATAAATAGGAATTAGTTTTTTTTTAATATGGAAAACAAAGCTAAACCGGGCCGAGTTCTAGTAAAATGCTCATTATGTGGATCTGTGTTTAACAACGACTATAAAAAAATGCATGAGAAAAATATTCACGGTGTAAATTTGGTTAAAATTAAAATTGTTGCTGTTCCGGATAATCGACTTACATTGGCAGCAAATCAAAAAAATAGAGAACGAGAATCAATCCCATCGACTTCGAAAGAGCATGCTAATGGTAGGTAAAGACGTTCTTTATCTACACTTTACAGCACTTTACATACATGATAAAACTACTGAACTATTACTACTAAAGTATCGATAAAAAAATAAGTTGGTTTTTTTATCATCTCCACCCCCCCCAAAAAGTGTGCCTCGGTACGGCCCTGAATGTGAGAAATTTTAGTTGTGTGTGAGAGAGAGAGAGAGAGATAGAAAGAGACAGGGATAATTTCAAAAGAAATATAACAGTATAAAAATTTTGTAAAAAATATTTTTTTTAACCATACCAGAAACGCGTTACAAGTCCCTGGTTATTAGTGAGAAGTGACCGTCCGGACGCGTCCGCACGCTACGTAAGATTTGAATAACACAAACACAACAGTGTTGTGACAACACCCCAACCAGTTCCCCAACCCTTTCTCTAAGACATAAAATTTAAAGCGTCGGAGGGCCCTGTAAGGGAACTATTTCCCGGGCCCTAAAATCATTCCAGCACGCGCTTGATCATGTTACTGCTGGTTTATTACAATTATTTTAATAATAAAATTTCATAAATACCTTAAAACATAGGGTAAAATTTATCGAACAGACACTGCTTAGCAGTGATTGCTTCTTATTATAACTAGTAGTTATTAACTACTGAATAAATTCATCTGAAATAAATTTATATATATATATATCCTTGGCATAAAAACAGAAGCGAATTTGCTTTCTGCACGCGCCTAAAGAGCGGCATGCTTTGAGCGCGCCACGCCCTTGTCTTTTGTCGGCTTTACACCGCGTTATTACAAATAAGCCGCATTATTGTAAAATAATAAAAACGTACTCATAATTGTTTATTGTTTATTTGATTTATTTTTGGTAGAAATAAACCATTTGGTAACATTTTTTATTTTTTTAAGTTATTTTGCGCTAGAATATCGTTTATTTTACAAAAATGTACATTTTCCAATAAACGCGACTTAAAAATAACACGTTTGTTCGATTATAAAAACCGTATCTCGCTACCCAATTACTTTAGACATGTACGGTTTTAACGGTTTCATTTTTAATAAAATTTGCAATTTTTTGTGTAAATGTTTAAAACCAAACGGCAGCAAGTTTTGTCGAAATGGTGTACAAAATATACCGGCGCGTGTAGTTTTCACCAAATTATTTGCCATCAAGAAATCATTTTTTCAAGTTATATCTTTGTGTCGCTAAAATTACGTTTTACGCCTCGAAATGGATTGTTTTAAACCTTTGGATAACGTTTGTTATTGTTCTAATTGACGGAATAGAACTATCCGGATATTTAACTGAGAATAGGTCTCTTGGCGTAGAGAATTGCCCACTAAAGACCAGCTTATCATGTCAATTTTCTCTCGCAATGTGTAGGACATTATAACTTATAATTTTAAAACGCTCGAAATCACAGACCTACAAACAAATGGACCGGTTTATTTACATTGAAAAGAGTGGAAAGGAACAAAAATAAATATTTTCCCTCAGTTGTCATATCTGACTTTATTTGCTTTGAAGTATCTATATTTTACGTAAAAGATACTTGGAATCCACAACTTATTTAATATTTTATAGTGAAAAATACCAATAGTGAGTGATATAAAAATAGTGAAGCAGTGCTACGTTTGTAAAAGACTTGGATCCAAGAATTTAAAACTTTCTTTTCATAGGTTAGTTTATTTACAAAACAAACCCTGCCAGGGGCGTAGAAACTGAATAAATAAATAAATGAATTCACTTAAATTTTGGATTTAAAGAGCCAGATTCTATCATCTGGACAAGGTTAGTATTTTGTTATACCTATATATTTATATATATTAAATATAATTTTTACATAGGATTGAAAAACACAAAAAAAATTTACAATTTAATGTTTTTATTTATTTTTAATATTTTTATTTAAATTATGATCCCAAAAACAGAACGCCACTGGTGTGGGAACTTGTTTATAAACACCCCTCCCCTTCCTCCTTTACCCCTAATCTAAATCGTTCTTGGCAACAAAACATTGTGTATTTTGAATGGGAAAGGCCAGTCCATTTTGTTTGTAGGTCTGTGCTCGAAATAAATGCAAAACAAAACTGAATCCTCGCCTACGCCGGCAATCTGGGGAGGGGCGATCGGATTCACTCGGGTTCACTCGTATAGCTCTCTTTCTCCTTCTCTCTTCGTTATATCTTTTTTCTCTCTGTTTAACGAAATCTCGGAACTTACATTTTTTCCAATTCACTCTCCATTCTCGTCAAATATCAGAACGCCACCAAAGAAGTTTCACTTCAAAAACTTGTTACGACCAATCAAATAATTCGACTACTGTCAGATCTAATCTAACCTCACTTTCTAGTTTTAATTATTATTATAATTATACGTGTATTGTTTAACAAATACAATTATGCCATAAAGATCAAATATTATTTGCAGTTTTTTTGTGCTTTGCTCAATTGTAGGCCTCCGCTACGCATCGGCATTCAAACTTCAAGATCAGCAGAAAAAGACTCGCCCAACACCCTCAAGAAATATGTAATTTCGTGGTCCTGCTGAGAGTGGGCAAAATAATGAATTCCCTGATTTTTTATTCCTTAATATAAACCCGTGCCTATGGGCTGAATCTGTGATTAAAACGGTTACAGATGTCAGATAAAATATCAAATAAAATTGGCTTTAATCTCCTTGCGGAACTTTAATAAAATATTGTGTGCGACTATTGATAAAAAGAGGAGATTCCACTTTACGATCGAGAAGTCTCCTCTTTCTCACTCTGTTCGCAACAATACACTATTTTTTAATTAGGGTCCTTTATATACGTCAATACAATTTTTGAATTTTTTTAAAGAATGGAGCGGAAGAGTCTGGGCAACCGTATTTTTAAATGTGCAAACATTTAGCAAATTGTCATAATTGAAAATGTTTTTAAAAATTAAGAAGTTTAAAATCAGCTATTATTTTAATAAATCGCCACTTTAACCACAGTTTAGACAGCCGGTGTTAAACTTTTGAGGCCGCGAAAAACTTAAAAAATCCCTTTTATTTTACGTAACCCACACCAAATGATAATAAATAAAAGTAATGTAGTTTGAATTAGGATTAAAAAACATGCTCACGCGGTTAATTTGGACGCACCTGTTAACTAATGTAACTGACTTTTTCACGGAACCCTTGGGGCATAAAAGACCTTTAAAATGACAAGCAAGCTATGTCTTAATAGATGAACAATCGTTGAAAACGTAAAAGAATTGGAAAAATTGAACAATATTCGTATATCAAATTTACAAAAAAAAAAAATTGTGAGCTAATCGCTTTTGCCTAATGATAATTATTATAATCCATACTCACGCTGATGCCCTAGCACTAGCCTCCTCGTGTTAAGGAGATTGGAAGAAGCGCTCGCATACATATGCATTACTTATCTAATAAATATTATTTTTAAAAGAATAGCATTTCAATGATGAAACATCATAATGTAGACAAATAAATAATATGTTGCCCATAAAACTAACGATGTGGTTCCCGTCCCGAGGCGGGACTTAAGTTCAGTCCCGAGTGACGTCATAATTTTAATATTTGTTATGTTACGATAACACTAAAACAACCCAACTCAACACTTTTTTTTTACAAAGGAACAACAAATTTATAAAATAAAAAAATAAAAAAAGTCGACAGTAGTATCGAACCCGATACCTCTCGCATGCCAAGCGACCGCCCTACCATCTGAGCCATCGAGCTTAATATTAATTTTATAACGCTCGGGGAATAAAAACGGATTTACAGTGTGTGACGCCAGTCGGGATCGAACTTAAGTCCCGCCTCGGTTCGGGAGCCACTTCGTAAAACTAAAATTCCCATTAAACACTAAAGCTATTCAAAGGTGCCTTGAACATAAAATATTGTAAGCCATTCGGCTGAAGTATTTTTGTGCTTTCCAGGGACGCCTTCCCTCAATTAAACTTTCAGCGCAACACAAAAATACTTCTATTTCAGGCAGGGCCGTAGCCAGAGTGTTTTTGCTGCCAGGGCCATGGTTTTCATAGCCAGGGCATCATTTAATATA